GCAGTGTAGTGAAAAGGAAAAAAAATCATTACAGAAGCATTACGTTTGCATTTCATCACACTGACACGTGCGCTCGAGATATGTCGCACGCACTTATATTTTGACCCACAATCACAAAAAGAAAAGCTGGTCCTCACTAAATTTCAACAATTTCCCAACCCCATCTCCAATAATTGAATACATTATATTACCATGAGTCACTATTTTAGACATACCATTCAAATTAAATTATATGAATATTTTCACAAATATATATACTTTCTAAAAAATATGTATATGTATGTTTAGTTCTATTAAACATGAAAAATCACAAATTATTAATCGTCTTTTTTTCTTCCTTAAAATCTTTATGGGACAATTATTACAAAATAATTCATATTCAATCATGGTAGCAAAATAACGAACATTCTACAAACACTAAAAATAAATAGTATAATAAAATAGAATTTTCTCCTGTTAATGATACACACACGAACTCTCTATATAAAGCCATTACTCAACACCTCACAAATTACAAGAACAAAAGTTGATAATAATCACACACGTAAAAAAACAATCTTGAAACTTTGCATCAATGGAGGAATCAAAAGCACCTCACGTTGCGATCATACCGAGTCCAGGAATGGGTCACCTCATCCCACTCGTCGAGTTCGCTAAACAACTCGTTCACCGTCACGGCTTCACCGTAACGTTCGTAAACGTCGGTGAAGGTCCACCGTCAAAGGCTCAAAGAACCGTCCTTGGCTCTCTCCCTTCTTCAATCTCCTCCGTCTTTCTCCCTCCCGCCGATCTCACCGATCTCCCATCAACGGCTCGCATCGAAACTCGGATCTCACTCACCGTGACTCGTTCGAACCCGGAGCTCCGCCGAGTCTTTGACTCGTTCGCGGCGGAAGGTCGGTTGCCGGCGGCGCTTGTCGTCGATCTTTTCGGTACGGACGCTTTCGACGTCGCCGTGGAGTTCCACGTGTCACCGTATATTTTCTACCCGTCAACTGCCAACGTCTTGTCGTTTTTTCTTCATTTGCCTAAACTACACGAAACGGTGCCGTGTGAGTTTCGAGATCTAACCGAACCGGTTAAACTCCCAGGATGTGTACCGCTCTCGGGAAAAGATGTTCTTGACCCGGCTCAAGACCGGAAAGATGACGCATACAAATGGCTTCTACACAACACCAAGAGGTACAAGGAAGCCGAAGGGATTCTTGTTAATACCTTCTCCGAGCTAGAGCCAAATGCTATAAAGGCTTTGCAAGAACCGGGTGTTGAAAAACCACCGGTTTATCCGGTTGGACCTTTGGTTAACATTGGTAAAAAAGAGGATAACCGGATCGAAGAGTCTGATTGTTTAAAGTGGTTAGATAACCAACCGCTCGGTTCGGTTTTGTATGTGTCCTTTGGTAGTGGCGGTACACTCACATGCGACCAGTTCAATGAGCTAGCTTTTGGTCTTGCAGACAGTGAACAACGGTTTCTTTGGGTCATAAGGAGCCCGAGTGGGATCGCTAATGCTTCGTATTTTGATTCGCATAGCAAAACCGACCCATTAGCCTTTTTACCACCCGGGTTTTTAGAACGGACCAAAGGCCGAGGTTTTGTGATTCCTTCTTGGGCTCCACAAGCCCAAGTCTTATCCCATCCATCCACAGGAGGGTTTTTGACTCATTGTGGATGGAATTCGACCTTAGAAAGTATAGTGAGTGGTGTTCCACTCATTGCATGGCCATTATTTGCCGAACAAAAGATGAATGCGGTTTTGCTGACCGAAGATATCAATGTGGCGCTTAGGGTGCGCTTCGGGGAGGATGGGTTGGTAAGAAGAGAAGAGGTGGCTAGAGTGGTGAAAGGATTGATGGAAGGTGAAGAAGGCAAAGGAGTGAGAAACAAGATGAAAGAAATGAAGGAAGGAGCTTCTAAAGTGTTGAAGGATGATGGATCTTCTACAAAGGCACTTAGTCATGTGGCCTTAAAGTGGAAAGGCCATCAAAGAGAGTTAGAGCAAAATGGCAACCACTAAAATATTATTTTATGTCTAATAATGAACCAATGGTGGGTTATGTGCAATTGTGTTTGTGTATGAATGTTATTATACTTTTGTTTGCTCCTGCTTTTGTATCAACTTTTGTTTGTAAATGGCTTTTGATTAAAATGGTAACCAAGCTTTAGTAGGTGCAAACTATGATGATCCCTTTTGAAGAAGATGGTTAACTATTGTTTCGGTTACAAAATATATATTTGTTTGGTAATGAGATAAGAGTTTTGATTTTGAAACGTCTGTTTTAGAGCATCATTATCAATGAATCTGAGTAAGAGTTTATAAAAAAAAATTAATGTTTTAATTATTTTTAAAAATTGATCTACTAGATTATTGACAAGTGTATGAACTTTCGTTAATTCGTTTCACCCTATAAAAACTTTCACTCTCTTTCTGTCTCATCTTTTTATTAATATTTTAATGATGTATATTATATTTTAATGTTAATGAGATCTACAACATTTCATTGTTGATGATGTTCTTAGTGGTCACTGATCAAACTCAAAAGTGGATGAATTGAAGAAGCGAAGAAAATAAGTGTGTGTGTGTGGAGTAGGTGAAATAGCGTTAAAACGACAGACGCAAAACTTTAGTGGGACCTGAAGACAGCATGTCGTTTTATGACATGTAAAACGATAAAACGACGTGCATTTTTTGTTTTGGTAGTAGGTTATTTGCCACTTTCAAACGTGTCAAGCGTTTCAAATGTAGAAGAAATATACATCTTTACAACTTTTCTTCTAGAATGAAAAGTAATTTTATCACCTTTAATTGACTTCTTCAAATTTGTATCATTTTTTTTGTGTGTGTGTGGGATAAATGTTTACGTATCAACTTTATATTGACAAAAATTAGTAAGTATTCAGTTTAGGCCTATGCATTTTGCTCTAGAAGAAGTCCAGCTATAGTATGCTTCTCCTTTCTTGGAACTTGGAAGGCCCAAATATTCTTAAGTCCACAATAAATGGTTCTAGAGAGATTGTTGTTAATTTATTTAAGAAAGTAATATTCTCGTTACAAAGTTGATACTTAATTTAAAATAATCAGTGAAACTTCAGAGATGTGTTCAATTATTTTATCATGACCCAAAACCTCTCAATTTCTTCTGCTGTTCTTCCTGGAATCCTCCCAGCTATCAATTCCCACCTTTCACCAAATAATATTGGAAAATAAACCATATATTCTACAAAGTTTTTTTGTTTGTTTGAAAATTTATATTCTACAAAGTTGTGTTAATTAAATTAAATTAAATTAAAGGATCAAACCTGTCACCGACAAGCTTATGCATTCTGCAGACCAAATCTTCTTCTTCTTGATTCATGTTCACAGCTTCCGACTCAAGACTACTCACTTCTGTTCCACGTCATTACAAGAAACTATTAAACATTCTCAAAATATCAA